GTGGGTGGGTGGGCTTTGCCCCATGGCAACTATTTTGTGGTTGGCTTCTCTTCCTGCAGCAGCTATGCCCACCACCTTGTGTCAGAATTCTAAATACACCCTCAGGTGCAAAAAGGTTGGGAACCCCTATAGTGAAGCATCTCTAAGAAGCCCTTTGGTGCCATAAAAATCTTTTCCTCCTATTCCCTTTTTCTAATACCCCACCTACTCCACCAATGTCACTTAACACACGTGTTCCTGACCTGAGGGCCTCTTTTTAATGTCAGAAAAATTTGTGCACCCCTCATGATAGTAGGTCGTACTGTTAGTATTCATTGGTTAAGAAAATACATATCAACAAAAAGATCAAAATGACAATCTTCAGTGTGCATATGGATGTGTGGACCCCTTGCAATAACAACCCCGCCCCCCCCCCCCCCCCCGCAAGGCACCCAGCCCTCAGGTTGGGAACTGCCTTAATTTAAGGATTTTCTTTTCTTTTCACTTTAAGAAGAAGAGTTTGGATTTATACCCCGCCCTTCACTACCCAAATGAGTCTCAGTTTACAAACTCCTTTCCCTTCCCCTCTCCACAACAGACACCCTGTGAGGTAGGTGGGGCTGAGAGAGCTCTGACAGAAACTGCTCTTTTTTCAAGAACAGCTCTTATCAGAGCTACGGCTTGCCCAAGGTCATTCAGCAGGTGCAAGTGGAGGAGTGGGGAATCAAACCCGGTTCTCCCAGATTAGAGTCCGCGCACTTAACCACTACACCAAACTGGCTCTTAAGAGCCATATTTGGTTTCATATGGAGCCCATTTGGTTCTAGGCTCCATGGTACAGTGATACTCTCCACAGCTCACAGGGCACCACACTCACAATTATATATATGTATATGTGTTAATTTGGCAAACCTAGCAAGAGGCTTTCAAGGCATATAAGAAACAGAGGTGGTTTGCCATTGCCTTCCTGTGCAGAGGCTTCCTTGGTAATCCCACATCCAAGCGCCGACCCTGCTTAGCTTCTGAGATCTGATCAGACTGGGCTGTACCATGTAGTTCCACATCCCACCTTCACATTCACCATCAAGCCAAAGAGCCAAGGTGGGAATCGCCTGTCAATCACAAGCCCCGCCAGGCAAGGACCTTGCCCACTTTCCTGAAACATGGGGAAGGTGCCATAATGGGGAATAATGCTCAGAAGGGCCTTGTGTGTTATGTGAAAGAGCCATATGTGGCTCCTGTGCCACAGAGTATCACTATCTTAGTGTGAGTTCCTAGGGCAGTTATTCTTCAGGAGTCGGCGTCCTCCCTTCTCAGGGACTCCAGAAGACAAATCTCTGTTGTCCACACACACAAGGAGCGAAGGACTGCACAATGCCTAGTTTGTCATCGCGCACACATATTTGAACATATTTCAAGACAAACTGGTTCCCCAGGCTCAACTGTGTGCAATATAATCTACTTATTGATTGGGTTGCTAGACTCCAGGTCTGGAGATTTCCCAGAATTACAGCAGATCTCCAGACAACATAAATTAGTTCCTCAGCAGAAAACGGCTGCTTTGGAGGGTGGACTCTCTTACATTATACCCTACTGAGGTCCCTCCCCTCACCCCAGAGCCAGTTTGGTGTAGTAGTTAGGAGCGCAGACTCTAATCTGGGAGAACTGGGTTTGATTCCTCACTCCTCTACATGAAGCTGCTGGTGTGACTTTGGTGTCAGGCTCCTGGAAAAGAACACTCTTTAGCAGTGATTTGTTTATTGAGACATAGACATGATCCAGACCAGAACAGTACTGTGTCAGAACTGAGAGTTTTGGTGGGTACAGGTACAGTTATAGGTAATTCGAATAGGACCCACAACATGAGTAACCAATCACACATTGCATATATCCTGCCTAGCCATTTCGTGGTCCACCCATTCCCCCTGGGAAATATACAATCCCACTATCTAGTCTAGCAAGCTGGCACCAAAGGCTTCAAGGACGTTCCTCTGGGAGGAAGGCTTCTTCAGGAAAAGTTACAGCTCCTACGACAGTCCGATTCACGCACTCAGCATTCACTCCCCTCCCATCAGGAATTGCCCATATCAAGTATAACCAGTCACTTATCCAGGTTTCTCCCGGATTTCCGCCATCGACTAAGAGATCTCTTATGCTTTTCCTCCCCAGAGATGAGCGTTTCTGGAGGATCTAATTGAAGAGCATTTAAGAGTTTCAGACCCGAGTCAACATCAGAGGCATAGAGAATGTGATCTTGGTGAGTGGCTTGACGCTTATAATAGGAGATCCACTTGTATTTGATGCTGGCATTTGCTAAAGCAGCCGTGATAGGCTTTGGATGTCTTCATTTAAGTAGAGTTTCAGCTGAGAGGTCTTGCAAGACTTATATTTTCCGGTCTTTGTATGGTATATATTCCTTATTTTGGGTTTGAGCTATAATGGAGGCTTTAGTACAAGTATTCACAAATTTTACTATGATATCTCTAGGCAGGGAACGTTGTGGCTGTTGGGGTGGCCCTGCTCTATAAACATAATCCAGTAACGGGGCCACACCGTCCTCTAGATCCAATACAGAAGCCAGTCAAGTTGCAATGAATACTGAGAGTTCCAGATTTTCTTCAACTTTTTCTGGGAATCCACGGAATTTAAAATTGTGAGCTCCAGGGCTCTTTTTGTAGATAAAGCCCAGCAGGAGCTCATTAGCATAATAGGCCACACCCAACAGCAGAAACGTATTAGCATATTTGGCCACACCCATGCCAGCACAGCTCATTGGCATATTAGGCCACACACCCATGTTACCAGAAGTGTGCTCATCCAGCCATACCCACCTTTTGCTTCTTATTCTGTTTACCTTGTTTGTTGTCAAAACCCTGGGCCTTTTTTTGTAGCAGGAACTCCTTTGCATGTTAGGCCACACACCCCTAATGTAGCCAGTCCTAATATGTTTCTGCTGTTGGGTGTGGCCTATTATGCTAATGAGTTCTTGCTAGGCGTGGCCAACTTGGAAACCAGC